GGGGGGGGGTAATCCTAATCCCATTATCCATTGCAGCCTCTTCTCAAATGGAGGCTTGTCAAAAGAGAACAATGGATTTTTAATAATTAATCCCTGACCAAGAATTGTTTGGGGTCTTTTTAAAGGTAAACTCCCAGCCAAATGTTGCATTCTAATTTTGTGATTTTGACTGTTGCTCTACAAGAGAAAAAAAAACACATCAATGGCATATTTAGAGCTAGCTCACACATACATGTATGTCAGCTGATGACAAATTAACATTTTATTCTATCACATTTGATGAATGCCATCCCCAACCATTTCCATGAGCCCTTCCAGACTACATAATTGTAGCACTGTGGTTCTACTTTAAGTGCCATGGTTTCTTGGGATTTGTAGTTTTGTGAGACACAAGAGCTCTCTAGCTGAGGATTTTGAACTCTCCTCCATAAACTACACATTATAGGATTCCACAGGATGTTGATAAAGTTGAATCACAGCACTAACATTATATATGAAAATAAACCACAGCAAATTTTAAAAGTACATTGTTTGAAAAATGATACATATAATGAGTTCTAAGGGACCAGTATCTCACATTCATTCATGAGCCCATTGCAGAGTACTTTTTTGTTCTAACTGTACAATTGTTTTCTGTTTTTGGACACCACAGGAGAAGTCACAAGTGAAAAGCATTGCTGAAATTTGTATTGAACTACTTTGTCTAAGTGGAGGAAGAGGCAAATGCAGAAATACAGCTGTGCACAGAGGAACTAAGCAAACCTGGCTGGTGCCAGTTCATTACAGCTTATGGGAAGAAAGGATACCAAACTGGAGTTTGTCTCTGACAGAAGGAAATCAGGAAAAGATAAAATAGAGATAGTGAAAAGTTGTAATAGGATAGGTTTGGGGGAGTGCGAATGAACAAATAGCTCATGGGTGAATGTGCTATTTAAGTGTGTCTTAATAAAGTTATTCTTTTCTTTATAATCTTGGCTATTCCTATTAAGTTTGAATATCCATCTATCTGGTCATGCTTAGCACAGCGAACCCACAGAACAAAACCTCCAGTGGTCACCATGAAGCCCCAGTACACAATCCAGGGAGATATTAAAAGGGGAAAGTGGGTAACGTGAGCCCAAGAGTTAACACTGCAAGACCAACCTGGAGAGGGAGTCCATCAAAACAAGCCTTGAAATCACCAAATCTGCACCCAATTCTACTTTCCTCTAGTCACATTCTAAAGAATGCTTCTTCCGTTTTCCTTCCAAACATTGCTTGCTTTGAAAGATCAATGACTTATCACTCCAGCTGGTGATATTTACAGAAATTCCCCATTCATATGAGTTCCATATGAGCCACAACCAGCACTGGAGAGCATTTACAAGTTTTTTGATAGTTTCAGGAGAAGCTAAATTACACGATGTTATGAGGAAAACAAGACTTGTAGAGGGAAATTGCTCTAAGCCAGGGGAGCAAGCATTTCAGTCATCCAGATGTTTTGGACTAGAAGTCCCGCAGTTTCTTAGCAATGCATGGGACTTCCATGCATTGGAAGTTTAAAGCATATCAGGAGACAATGCTTTCTTGCTCCTTTGCTATGCCAAAACTAACACTGCAGCCAGCCCCTTCATTTTGGCAAGGAGAATATTGTGGCAGTATTTGAAAGTGAACCATTTTACTACAACTAAACCCTTTTCAGGAGTTTAATCAGAAACAACTGGGGATCAGCAAAAGTTTTTAAGAACTGCAGTGAATCTAAAGCATAG